CCTCAGCTCTTCAGCTCAAGGCGAGCGCTCTACCACTTGAGCTACAGCGCCACTTCCAAATTGTTTTTAATCTTATGTCACATATACCAAGACTGTATATGCAACTGTACTGTGTGTGTGCACACACACATGCATACCAGTGCTGGGGCTTGAACTCAGGGCCTAAGCCACAGTCCCTGAGTTTTTGGGGTTTTTTTTGGTCCGATCGTGGGGCCTGAACTCTGGGCCTGGGTGCTGTCCCTCAGCCCTTCAGCTCAAGGCTAGCACTCTACCACTTGAGCCACAGTGACACTTCCAGCTTTTTTTTTTCTGCTTATGTGGTGCTGAAGAATCGAACACAGGGCCTCATGCATGCAAGGCAAGCACTCTACCACTGAGCCACCTTCCCAGCCCTCCCTGAGTTTTTTTGCTCAAGGCTAGCACTCTACCGATTGAGGTAAACCTCCACTTCCAGCTTTTTGGTGGTTAATTGAAGGTAAGAGTCGCAGGACCTTTTCTTTCCAGGCTGGTTTCAAACTACGATCCTCAGATCTCAGCCTGGTAGCTAGGATCATAGGCATGAGCCACCAGTGCCTAGCTCCAGACAATCTTAAAATACAGTTGTAAACGGGTGTTGGTGATTCACACCTATAATCTTGTCTACTCAGGAGGCTGAGATCTAAGGATTGCAGTTCAAAGCTAGCCCAGGCAGGAAAGACTGTGAAACTTACATCTCCCATTAACTGCCAAAAACCCAAAAGTGAAGCTGTGGCTCAAGTGGTAGAGTGCTAGCCTTGAGCCAAAAAGCTCAGGAACAGTACTTTAGTCCCTAAGTTCAAGCACCAGAAGCCTGGTATTACATAAGTTTGAGCAAACAGAACAAGGGCCCAAGTCCTGGCAACAGACATATATTTACAGGGTCCACAAAACAGTGGGATGGGAGAGGCTCTCCAGAAACAGGTACCACCTCAACTGGACACCAGGTGAGAAGGAAAGGGTTTGTTTATTTTCCCCCTGGTCCTGGGGCTTAAACTCAGGGCCTGAGCACTGTCCCTGAGCTTCTTTTGCTAAGAGCTAGTGTTCTACTACTTGAGCCACAGCGCCACTTGCAGCTTTTCCTGTGACTAACTGGAGATAAAGAGTCTCGTGGACTTTCTTGCCTGGGCTAGCTTCAACCTGCGATCCTCAGATCTTAGCCTCTGAGTAGCTAGGATTACAGGCATGAGGCACCAGCACCTGGCTGCAAAGGATTTTTTTTTTTTCATTTCTTTATTGTGATTAAGTGATTACATAAATTTCACAGTATTGCGGGATAGTGATACTTAGCTAAAGTAACAAACACATTCTAACCTTCACAAGGCAAACTGTTATTATTTTGGTCTATGAAACTTATGAACTCTATGAACTTTGACAATACGAAGCTTATGAACTCTATGAACTTTGACAATATAACTATTTCTTCCACGTTGGGTGATATGTACATTTCTTTCCTTTTGCTTAATGTAAGCTGTTCCCTCTTTCTCACTCATTCCCTCCCTCCCATCGCTGCCCTTGTGTTGCTTAGTTCACTTTCATCAATGTCCAATACAGCTGATGGGCCCCTCTGCTATATTTTTTTCACCCATTTTCCTCTGATTCTGTGCCTTCCTCCAAGCTTCCCTCAGATGTACACATGTATATACCATATGTGGGGTCAAGAACATAAGAATCATCTAAAAACAATGGGACAAAGTAAGAAGCGGTCCTTTAATTCTTGAGTCCTGTTGCAAAGATTTCTTAGGACACAAAAACACTACTCACAAAGGAAAGGATGGATAATTAGGTTTAAATGAAATAACGAGTTTCTGCTCAAAAAATGCTACTGATGGGCTAGAAAAGCAGCCAAGAATGCAAGGGTAATTTTCCCAGGACAAACAAAGAACCCTGGGGCATCTGTTTGCCCAGATGATGGACATGATGCTGTATCCAGTTCACTACTGCTGAAATGCTCAGCTCTAAAGGCTGAGTACAGCCAAACTGCTGACCATAAGGTGGGCACAAGTAGGCCTGCTAGTCTGCAGGCCTGGGATCCAATACTGAGTACAGACAGCCCTTTACGTGTTAGTCTTTCGGAGGTATGACAAGGCAACTTCTTTATGTCTGATGATGGCTACTGGACATTTGAGCATCTATCCACTCAAAAAGTTAAAATCTAGCTGGGCATTGGTGGCTCACACCTGTAATCCTAGCTTCTCAGGAGGCTGAGACCTGAGAACCACAGTTCAAAGCCAGCCCAGGAAAAAAAGTCCATAAGACTCTTATCTCCAATTAACTACCTGAAAACTGGGAGTGGCACTATGGCTCAAAGTGATAGAGTGCTAGTCTTGAGCAAGAGCACAGGGATAGTACCTAGGTCCTAAGTTCAAACCCATGACCGACAAAGAAAGAAAGTTTAAATCCACTATCCTTGAAGAAGTGGGCAGTGTTTCTTCCCCAGGCAGGGCGAGCCGGGGAATCTCCTGGCAAGAGGACGATCTATCATAGTCACCAAGCCATAACAGCCTGCCCAGTCCTTGCCAAAAAAAGGCAAACTACAATTAGGTGTTGATATAATCCTAGCTACTTGGAAGACTGAACATGGAAGTGAAGATCTATCCTAGCCCAGGCAGAAAAGTTTGCCAGACTCCTTCTCAAATCATCACTGGCAGTGGCATGCACCTTTCATTCTAAAATACATAGGAGTTGTGAATGAGAGACTCATGGCTCCCGGCACTCTAAGCTGAAAGTCCAGAAGATTCCATCGCAACCCAGAGAAGCTGTACAGGGTAGACTGGCCTGTCATCCAGCAACAATGGGAAACCTAAAATGGATGAGAGTTCAGGTAAGTGCTTGAGCACAAAGAAAGGCCCTAGATAGCTGATCGTTCTTAGCCTTGCCAACCCCTGCCCCACCCGTGGCCCACCTAACAAGAACAGATTTTCTCTAGGGTAAGGTCTGGTGGAACTCAGCTTTTCTAGGAGAGTGATAGAGATTGGAAGGGGTAGAGCCCTAGTACTGTGAATGGTCCTCTTAGGACTGTGTTAGACATACTTTGATGGTAATAATAGGTAGAGAGGAGGGGAAGAAATGAGCTTGTCCTTAATCTTTTTTTTTTTTTGCCAGTCCTGGGGTTTAAACTCAGGGTGTGAGCACTGTCCCAGAGCTTCTTTTGCTAAAGCTAGTGCTCTTACCACTTGAGCCACAGAGCCACTTGGGCCTTTTCTGTTTATGTGGTACTGTGGAACAGAACCTAGGGCAGGCTTCATGCATACTAGGCAAGCACTGTACCACTAAGCCACATTCCCAGCCCACCCTTAATCTTCTGAACAAGGGCTTCCTGGACTGAACTGGGTACAAGAAGAATCCTGAGATGCCTCTCTGGGGCAGGGCCACACGTCCCGTCCTCATCACCACATTGTGACTCACAGCCCAGGACTTTCCATGTCCCACCAACAGAGGTAAGTATCAGAGTGGTTGGGAGTTGGCAAGACAAATGGGAAGGGGGTTGAGGGTGCGCCCCATCTAAAAGGAAGGACTCCCAGAGGACCAGGTATTTTTTTTTTTAATAATTTTATTATTTTTTTTCTGTGTATGTGGTGCTGGGGAATTGAACCCAGGGCCTTATGCATGCTAGGTGAACACTCTACCACTGAGCCACCTTCCCAGCCCAGGACCAGGTATTCTACAAGCAGTGTGAATCAAACATGGAAGGAGATACACATCACACTTCCAGCACACCACAACATCTCATGGTCACATGTCACAGAGACCCCTGGACAGAGCAACTCAGAAAAGCAGAGACTCAAGGGATGAGAGCTCAAACACTACCTCCTACAAGGTAAGAAAATGACATACCCATGAAGAGTGAGAAAAGAAGAACTATTCCAAGCACATAAAGAGTTCTTTGAAGTAAAAAAAAAAAAAAAAACATTTCATGAAAGCAAAAATTTCTCCTCTGTTGGGAAGAAACATCTAGGAACTACCCAAAGCCAACACGGAAGTAAAGGAAGCAAAGTGCTCCCAAGGCCCTTGGTAGGCACGCAGAGCGACTAAAGGAAAGCCCAGGCAGGAATCATGGGATCCAATACAAGCTCAAGGCAGGAAGCAGGGCAAGGAGAGCCCACTCGGGAGAAGATGCCCAGGCCTCAAAGCAGCAGTGTGGGGCCAGGAAGATGGCTCAGTGGTAGAGTGCTTGCCTTGCCCTGGATTCGATTCCGCAGCATTACATACACAGAAAAAGCCGCAAGTGGTGCTGTGGCTTAACCCTGAGCTGAAGAGCTGAAGGACAGCGCCTAGAGTTCAGGCCCCACAACCGACCAAAAAAAAAAAAACAAGCAGCAGTACAGTCCCACATGAAGAGCTCAGGCTCAGAGAGCCCCAACCCTGAACCAAGCACCTGGGAACAAGGAGCTGGGACAACGCTGCATTTTTAGATGTACAAAGGTTGAAGCAGGTCTCTTTCTAAAGAGCTTTCAAAGAAGATGCCCCACAAAATAAGGAAGGTGTGAACCAGGGAGATCAGACCAAACAGCCCATGCATGACAGGCCTGGATAGTGGACAATAGAAGATGAACAGGTTGGAAAGGACCAGAAGAAGTGCTCATGTACCTATAGAGCTCATTACTAGATGCTCAGCAAAGGATATGCTCACATATCCTTATGTGCCTGTCCCCTCAAGAAGGCAAAGGGACAGGACGGGAGGCCAGACACCGTAAGGTATTCCCTCCTTTTATATCACCCAAAGTCACAAGGACATGGAGCCCAGCCTGAGTACACCAAAATCAGCAGCAGTATTTCAACTCCTCAAACCACACAACACCAAAAACAGTGCCCAAGTTCAAGTCAGTCCATGAGGAAGAAGAAAGTCCTGAGCCTGGTATCTAGAGGCCGATACAGGCTGTGGGGAAGGAAGCCCTGCACTCATCAGACCACGTATCTAATATGGTATCTGTTGCTAAGTAAAGCTGCCAAATCCACACAAGGGAACACCAAAGCAAGGATACGCGGTGTGCCTTCTGTGCGGCAGACCAGGTAGAGGCAGGCGGCAACCACGTGCGCCATCTTCCGGCCTCGGGTCAGATGCTTGCTCACAGCCATCTTGAAGAAGTTGAAGGCTGTGTCCAGACAGTGCTGGTTCAGTTGCAGCTGGCTCCCCAGGTGGTGGATGTGGCGTCGCCCTAGGACATAAATGGGTAACTTTATCCAAACATCGCCGCTCAATTGCAGTATTCAATTAAAAGCATAAGAATCAAAGGACTACTATAGTAATTTAAGAATACAAATTTACCTTTGTCTCTTACATTTCTAAATTCACTTTGTGAATGAATTCCATAAAAAAAAAAAAAAACTGTCAGTCGTGGACTTGAACTCTAGATCTGGGCGCTGTCCCTCAGCTCTTTAGCTCAAGTTGAGCACTCTACCACTTGAGCCACAGTGCCACTTCCAGTTTTCTGGTGGTTAACTGGAGATAAGTCTTATGGACTTTCATGCCTAGGCTGGCTTTGAACTGCAATCCTCAAATTTCAGCCTCCTGAATAGCTAGGATTACAGGTGTGAGCCACTGGCTCAATCAATTTTTTTTAATGGCTGCTGAAACGTGGATTGATTGATTGATTGATTGATTCCTTCCTTCCTTCCTTCGTTTCCCTTTTTGATGCTAGTCTTAAGGCTTGAAATCAGGACCTAGTTGTGGTCCTTGAGCTTTTTTGTTCAGGCTAATGCTCTACTACTCTACTACAGCTCCACTTTCTAGCTTTTTATTAGTTATTTGGAGATAAGAGTCTCCTGGAGCCGGGCATCAGTGGCTCACTCCTGTAATCCTAGCTACTCAGGAGGTTGAGATCTGAGGATCCCAGTTCAAAGCCAGCCCAGGCAGAAAAGTCCATGAAACTCTTATCTCCAATAAACCACTCAGAGAACCAGAAGTGGTGCTGTGGTTCAAGTGGTAGAGCGCTTGCTCGCTTGAGCTGAAAAGCTGAGGGATAGCACCCAGGCCCAGAGTTCAAGTCCCATAACCGGCCAAAAAAAAGCCTCATGGACTTTTCTACCTGGGTTGGCTTCGAACAGCAATCCTCAGATCTCAGCCACCTGAGTAGCTAGGATTATGGCATGCACCACTGGCCCCCGGCTGAATCATGGATTTCTTACAGTTTTCACATGCTATGAAATCTTATTCCTCCCATATCATGCTTCAAAACAAATCTGTTAAGTGGCTGAGTGTTCCTTTGTCAGGGACTAATGAAGACTGGGTATCTGGCAGAAATCTGTTTGGGCTGGTTGGCCTGGTGCTATTTTGTGGTTTTCCATCACTGTGATAGAAATGCTCCTTCTCCCAAAGCTATAAGCCTAGGTAGAACTGCTTCCCCACAGCACAGGGGCCAGCCAGGCCAGACCACCCTACCCTCCCAGTTGGGCCCTCTGCCCAGTCTAGCCTTGAACAGCTGTCAGGCTAGCTAACCTCCAAGAGGCAATGGCCTTACCTAAAGAAAGAAACAGCCTAATGAGCCACTCTGTGCACACCTGCAAAGGGAGGGCACAACAAGAAGGATGTACACAATCCCAAGTGAACTTGAAGGTAACAAACCGTTTAGAAACTGCCAGCCAGTCAGATAGCTGGAATGGCCCCGTCTGTGTACATACCCCTTCTTGAAGGAGCAATACCTTCAGTCCAACAGACAGCATTCGGAGAGGGAGAAAGGCACTGTCCCTAGCAAGGCCTCTTGCACTCAGATCAAAATGCAGGGCAGAACCAGCCAGAGCCAGCAGTAGAGGGACTTAGGTGGAGAGCTGCTGACACCAGCAGTATTGGCATTCTGCACAGGCCTCACATCTATATCCACTACATGGGCAGAAAAGCCTTCTCCAGACAGGAGACCCTAGGGTCTAAGAGAAATCTATGACAGGGTCAACATTAGAATGCCAAGAAAGGCAACCATGGACTTTCTAGTACTACCAGAGCTCTTTGGATTCCAGACTCACTCCTGTGGTGCCTAGCAGATCCACGTCACAAAATATTAAGTGTATTAAGTATGGTTTCCTGGTTTCTTTGATAAGGACTTGTGGACTAGCTAGCTACTCACAGACACAAGCCTCACTAACTATAACCACTGCCCAAAGGCAGTAAGTACCACACCTACGGTATGTGGTCTGCCAGGTTGGAGATGAACCACGCAGATAGAGCCCACCTTGCTGTATCCCTGAACACCCTTATGAACACATACTTCAAGAACCTCTAGTCAGGAAGGTGGCTCAGTGGTAGAATGCTTGCCTCACATGTTTGAGGCCCTGGGTTTGATTACTCAGCACCATATAAACAGAAAAAGCCAGAAGTGGTGCTGTGGCTCAAGTAGTAGAGCACTAGCCTTGAGATGAAGAGCTGAGGGACAGCGCCCAGGTCCAAAGTTCAAGCCCAAAACTGACCAAAAAAACTTTTTTGCTTTTTTGATTGGAATTCATTCACAAAGGGAAACAATAAAAACATCACTGTCATGTCAAATTGCTATAAACTTATTGATCCCATACTTATATCCACAGACATCAGGAACAATGTGGGCAATGGTAGGGTCCAGGGACCTCCTCTGGTGATGGTAGTAGAACCTGCAGGATGCCAGGGCACTGATGATGGAAGGGGGCTCAAGAAGCAACTCCTTCAGGAGTTTGACTAGCCACCGGCTTCACAGGAAGCAGGATGTGAAAAAAACAGGAAGTAAGGCTGGGGATGAGATGGGGCAGAAGCTATAGGACCAGAAGCAGTAGATGAGGCCTGGTCTGACCTCACCCTTAGCAGCGCAACCCCAACTCCTGGCCCCACTGCAGGGTCAGCTCTGTCCCTAGTGGGTAATACCGTTTTGCAGTGTCTGTGCTCTTGACTCCTTCCCCAAGTTCACATGGAAGCCACCGCCTAGGGTTGGGGTCTTACCAGCACCTGGAAACAGAAAGACAGATTAGTGGAGCCTGTAGAGAAAACTCAGGTAGCCTTTCACTGCATGCAGTACAAAGCAGAGACCAGCATTCATGCAGGGAAGAGATGCAGGCCATGCAAAGAAGCCCCTTTCCTTGCCTCGCCAACAGATGTGGCTGCAAGCTGGAGCCAAAAGTAGTCCATGTCCACCTATGTGTTCCTAACGTTCAAGTCCCAGCGGAGCACTATCGCTTAGAACCTCCCCATGGTAGGAAGGTGTGCCTGACTGTGTGGATGGTGCTCATATTCCACAACCAGCCATTAAGACATGTTATGCTTGCACAGTGATTTCCTGCTGGACTACAGCACCTGGAGTGAAGGGATCATTCCTGTGAGGCCCTGGAGCCCTTGTCTAACCAGTCGCCAGGGGGTATCATCCACATTTCCACTCACTTGTCCATGACTTGCCCACGAGAGTGATAGCTTACAACTGACAGCAAGCCCAGCATCTGGCTTGCGTGTCACTCTATGAACCTGCCACGGAAGCCTGATCTTCAGGTGGGCACACGTTCAAGTATGAGCCAGAATGAGCCTCCTGTCCTGCAGGCAGTGGCCTTAGGCAACCATCACATTTGTGACAAAATCTAAGCAGAACACTGGGCTTCTTTCTATGGTGAGGGGCACATGCACAAAACCTCAGCCTGATGAGGGAGCTGAGCATGCAGAGCCAGTCACAGGGACACAGTGGAAAGAACTGTAAATGCAGGAGTGACAGAGTCAAAGGAAGTACAGAAGACAGGGCTGAGGACAGCCCTGTGCCAACAGTATAAGGCGCCACCTCTATCAGCGGGGACCTTGTGCCAGGCAGGAGGCAGCCACCACAGGGCAGTCACTACACAGCAGGCACAGTCTCGGGATTATCTGTAGATACAACTGGATGCCAAACAGGTACTAATAAGGCTCTCTAAAAGGCTGGCAAAACTACTCTAAACAAAAAGAATTAAACAATGTTCAAGAGGAAGTGTACTCATAACCTCACTCATGTAACTGTAACCCTCTGTATAGTAGCTTTACAATAAAAAAAAAAAAAAAGAATTAGCCAGGCTCTAGTGGCTCACACCTGTCATCCTAGCTACTCAGGAGGCTGAGATCTGAGGATTACGGTTCAAAGCAAGCCCAGGCAAGAAAGGCATTGAGACTCTTATCTCCAATGAACTACCAGAAAACCGGAAGTGGTGCTGTGGCTCAAGTGGTAGAGCGCTAGCCTAGAGCTGAGGGACAGCGCCCAGGCCCAGAGTTCAAGTCCCAAGACCGACCAAAAAAAGAAAGGAATTAAGCTGGGCATTGGTGGCTCACACCTGTCATCCTAGAGATCAGGAGGCTGAGATCTGAGGATCACAGTTCAAAGCCAGCCTGGGCAGGAAAGTCCATGAGACTCTTATTTCCAATAAACCACTAGAAAATCACAAGGGATGCTGTGGCTCAAATGGTAGAGTGCTCACCTTGAGCTGAAGAGCTGAGGGACACCACCCAGGCCCAGAGTTCAAGCTCCACGACCCACAAAAAAAAAAAAAAAAAATTAAGAGTACCAAAGAAATTTTGAAAAGAACAATGTATGGAGCCAGGTGCCAGTGGTTCATGCCTGTTATCCCAGCTACTCTGAAGGCTGAGATCTGAGGATCACAGTTTGAAGCTAGCCTGGACAGGAAGTCTATGAGACTCTTATCTCCAATTAACCATGAAAAAAGCTGGAAGTGGATGGAGCTATGGCTCAAGTAGTAGAACACCAAGCCTTGAGTACAAAGGCTCAGGGATAACACCCAGGCTCTGTGTTTAAATCCCAGGACTAGCACAGAAAGAAAGAAAGAAAGAAAGAGAGAGAGAGAGAGAGAGAGAGAGAAAGAAAGAAAGAAAGGAAGGAAGGAAGAAAGGAAGGAAAGAAAGGAAGGAAGGAAAGAAGAAAGAAAGGAAGGAAAAAAAAGAAGGAACGACGGAACGAAGGAAGGAACGAAGGAGAGAGAAAGAACGATGTGTGGGCCTCGCTGGGCAGCTCTAGTCATGAGCATGAGGCTGGCCTGCAAGCAGAGCTGAGTAGGGTGCCAGCCTCTCTGGAGCCCACAGCCCTCCTCCATCTGCAGCAGAGTGCTGCGGAGTCCCAGCATCATGGTGGTGTAGTGAGGGAATGAACTCAACCGCTCAGTGGGACCAGGAGCAGAGTTCAAGTGCCGCAACCAGGGAGCTACGCATTATACGCTGCTGTAACAAGTAACACATTTCTAAATCCCACAAGTCCATTGCCTTCAAGGATCTGGGGCAGGGATCAGTGGGACATGGTTTGCGGTGAGGGAGACCAGGAGACTTCTGAAGAAGGGATCAAGTAGAGAGGCCAGTGTCCTGGGGCCACTGCAGGGCCCAGGGAAGACCTGGTCCACCTGGTTCCAACACAAACATGTAACACTGCATCTCCACCCACCTGTCACTGCGTCCCACCCACCTGTCACTGTCACTGCGTCCCACCCACCTGTCACTGTCACTGCGTCCCACCCACCTGTCACTGTCACTGCATCTCCACCCACCTGTCACTGCCACTGCGTCCCACCCACCTGTCACTGTCACTGTCACTGCGTCCCACCCACCTGTCACTGCCACTGCGTCCCACCCACCTGTCACTGCCACTGCGTCCCACCCACCTGTCACTGTCACTGCGTCCCACCCACCTGTCACTGTCACTGCGTCCCACCCACCTGTCACTGCCACTGCATCCCACCTGTCACTGTCACTGCGTCCCACCCACCCGTCACTGCCACTGCGTCCCACCTGTCACTGTCACTGCGTCCCACCCACCTGTCACTGCCACTGCTTCCCACCTGTCACTGTCACTGCGTCCCACCCGTCACTGCCACTGCGTCCCACCTGTCACTGTCACTGCGTCCCACCCGTCACTGCCACTGCGTCCCACCTGTCACTGTCACTGCATCCCACCCGTCACTGCCACTGCTTCCCACCTGTCACTGTCACTGCGTCCCACCCGTCACTGCCACTGCTTCCCACCTGTCACTGTCACTGCGTCCCACCCACCTGTCACTGTCACTGCGTCCCACCTGTCACTGCCACTGCGTCCCACCCACCTGTCACTGCCACTGCGTCCCACCCACCTGTCACTGCCACTGCTTCCCACCTGTCACTGCCACTGTGTCCCACCCACCTGTCACTGCCACTGCTTCCCACCTGTCACTGTCACTGCGTCCCACCCACCTGTCACTGTCACTGCGTCCCACCTGTCACTGTCACTGCGTCCCACCCACCTGTCACTGCCACTGCTTCCCACCTGTCACTGTCACTGCGTCCCACCCACCCGTCACTGCCACTGCGTCCCACCTGTCACTGTCACTGCGTCCCACCTGTCACTGTCACTGCGTCCCACCCACCCGTCACTGCCACTGCTTCCCACCTGTCACTGTCACTGCGTCCCACCCACCTGTCACTGCCACTGCGTCCCACCTGTCACTGCCACTGCGTCCCACCCACCTGTCACTGCCACTGCGTCCCACCCACCTGTCACTGCCACTGCTTCCCACCTGTCACTGCCACTGCGTCCCACCCACCTGTCACTGCCACTGCATCCCACCTGTCACTGCCACTGCGTCCCACCTGTCACTGTCACTGCGTCCCACCCACCTGTCACTGTCACTGTCACTGCGTCCCACCTGTCACTGTCACTGCGTCCCACCCACCTGTCACTGCCACTGCGTCCCACCCACCTGTCACTGCCACTGCATCCCACCTGTCACTGTCACTGCGTCCCACCCACCCGTCACTGCCACTGCGTCCCACCTGTCACTGTCACTGCGTCCCACCCACCTGTCACTGCCACTGCTTCCCACCTGTCACTGTCACTGCGTCCCACCCACCTGTCACTGCCACTGCGTCCCACCTGTCACTGTCACTGCGTCCCACCCACCTGTCACTGTCACTGCGTCCCACCTGTCACTGTCACTGCGTCCCACCCAACCGTCACTGCCACTGCGTCCCACCCACCTGTCACTGCCACTGCGTCCCACCCACCTGTCACTGTCACTGTCACTGCGTCCCACCTGTCACTGTCACTGCGTCCCACCCACCTGTCACTGCCACTGCTTCCCACCTGTCACTGTCACTGCGTCCCACCCACCTGTCACTGCCACTGCGTCCCACCTGTCACTGTCACTGCGTCCCACCCACCTGTCACTGCCACTGCATCCTACCTGTCACTGTCACTGCGTCCCACCCACCCGTCACTGCCACTGCGTCCCACCTGTCACTGTCACTGCGTCCCACCCACCTGTCACTGCCACTGCTTCCCACCTGTCACTGTCACTGCGTCCCACCCACCTGTCACTGTCACTGCGTCCCACCTGTCACTGTCACTGCGTCCCACCTGTCACTGTCACTGCGTCCCACCCACCCGTCACTGCCACTGCTTCCCACCTGTCACTGTCACTGCGTCCCACCCACCCGTCACTGCCACTGCGTCCCACCTGTCACTGTCACTGCGTCCCACCCACCCGTCACTGCCACTGCGTCCCACCTGTCACTGTCACTGCGTCCCACCCACCCGTCACTGCCACTGCGTCCCACCTGTCACTGTCACTGCGTCCCACCCACCCGTCACTGCCACTGCTTCCCACCTGTCACTGTCACTGCGTCCCACCCACCTGTCACTGCCACTGCGTCCCACCTGTCACTGCCACTGCGTCCCACCCACCTGTCACTGCCACTGCTTCCCACCTGTCACTGTCACTGCGTCCCACCTGTCACTGCCACTGCGTCCCACCTGTCACTGCCACTGCGTCCCACCCACCTGTCACTGCCACTGCGTCCCACCTGTCACTGCCACTGCGTCCCACCTGTCACTGCCACTGCGTCCCACCCACCTGTCACTGTCACTGCATCCCACCTGTCACTGCCACTGCGTCCCACCTGTCACTGTCACTGCGTCCCACCCACCTGTCACTGCCACTGCGTCCCACCCACCTGTCACTGCC